TCCAGGTGGCACCTCCCCGTTAATTAACGGGGCATGATTAACGGCTGCGGCACCAAAACGCAGCTTGAGGAAGGGGGCTGCTGCGCGGCGCGGTGGGTATAGGCAGTGCCGGTACGGGGGTAGGCGGGTGGAGCCCAGGGGACAATCAGGCGGGGCTGATTTTGGAGAGAAGAACCGTTTTACAGGTTTTTGGTGGTTTTTTTCTGATATTTATGAAGGTAGAGTTCATCGCGATGCCGGAACGAGAGAGCAGCCCCGCCGAACCGTACAGCATTCTCGTATCGCTTTGAGAGAACGTTCCCACCACACGACTAGGGGACGTTTCGCAGTCGGAAACGTCCGGACCCCAGCTCGGGCAGCGGCCGGGCAGGCGGCAGCGGGGAAGGCTGCCATCATGCCAGTCCCTCCGTGGTGAGATGCCACTGCCTACTCCAGAACCACAGTCCCTCCTGCTGCCTCCAACGCCGCTTTGATCTTCTCTGCTTCCTCCTTGGAGGCGTTAGCCTTGATCTCCTGCGGAAGGGACTCCACCAGCTTCTTTGCCTGCGGGAGGGACAAAGTACAAGACTTATAAACTAGCTTTCACTAACCGGATTAACAGATTTAGAGCCATGAGCCTGACCTCTGCATAAGCAGAGCAGGAAAACTCACTGACTGGTCTGAACTCCAAGACTTTTACTTGAACTACAGCACATCCTGCCGGAAGACATCTAAACCTGACTGCAAGTGACAGCACATCCACTGCAGCCCTGGAAGACCTTTTTCAGCGAGTAATAGCCCGTAAATTCTTCCCACCATATGCACGGTGCTCCAGGACGCGCAGCCCCGGTCTGAGAAGGTGCTTGGGACGCATGCAGAGCCACCACATGGTAACCTGCCAAGGCAGCTACCGGCCTGCATTGGGTCGACTTTTTTCAGTGCGAATGTTTTGGTTCACATATTTCTGCCAGCGGGGAGGAGAGGCTGTTACAGGGTTTGTACACCACTGTACAGGAATCCACTGTACTGGCTGAAAAAGAACTCCAGTACAGACTATGCTTGACAACACAATCTTGGTATTTTCAGGACTTTTTATACGAAACTACTGATACTACGCAGTACCATGATATTTAAGGCAAACTGAAAAGCTGTTGAACTGATGCAAAGAGACTTCCTGCAGTACTGCCATAAAAAGGGAAGGGAGGCTGAGCCCCTGCTGCAGTCAGATGCTCTTGCTCTTACACTAAGCAGCAGCAACAAAGCTATTCAGCTCCTTAAAAACAAAGCCCGGGGAGGTTCCTACGGTGAAAAGCCACTGCCAGCTCTCTGCCGTCTGGCACTGCAGGTATTTAGCACCCAACAGATTGACCATTGCTGACAGAAAGAAGCTTTTGTTGTTTTAATTCACATAGGGCACAGTAATGATGTATCCAGGGTGGCAGAAAATGCTTTTTTTGCTAGGGATGAGAAGGCGTAGCTGTGCAGGCAGGGCAGGCATGCCTTCACCCACCAAAGCCCAGGACAGTATCTGGAAAGGAGCCTGTTCTGGCTTGCTGTGATGAGGACAGGCAACACAACCAAGGTTATTCATGAAAGATCCTTGCTCACGAATGCTTAACTTCTGTTCTAAAGCAGCCTCGGTCAGAGGAAGCAACTGTTCAGAGCGCCCAGCAGGAGAAGGAGCAGGGCCTGAGCCAAGCTGGACCTGCACCATAACAGACGCTGGGCAGAAGCAACATGTTTTGAACCCCACCCGGAGCATACGAGAAGGCCAGCCCAGGACAGGTGAAGATGCGAGGTAAGCATCTGTTGGGCTTGCTCTGAAGACGCTTTCAGGGGGGCAAACGGACTCGAGCCCGGCTTGTGCTGACAATGTGCCTGTCTCATCAAGCAGTCGTTCCTGTAGGACTGACCTGTTTGAGTCACATCAGCACACGATGTCCAAAGATATTACTAGCAATGCTTTCTTCCAAACCACCAACAGCCCCACAGGCCAAGAACAGGCTCCCTGCAAATCTTGTTAAAAACACCTCAAACGGATGGCAATAAAATTTACAACAAAAATGTATCAGCTACACTTTCAATACAACCTCTTTAGGCAGAACCAACCTTCCGCAGCAGTTTGTTTTGTGCATGTGTGTGTGTGTTTTAACCAAAATACCAGATCAGGTAAGTCACACTTGACAAAGTTTACCCCCAGTAACCTGCATCTACCAACCCTGTAACCGCATCGGAACGGTAACCAGCTTGTTTGACAGGTTCCACATGCTAAGCCAAGTTGATTTAGCATCAGTTCTCTAGACAGCTTTTAATTATCCGCTGATCATGTCCATTACGGGATTTTGGTTGTTTAATGTTTGCTTGGGACTGGTAACGGATAAACAGCTGCCAGAGTAACCCAACTAATAGCAAGTTAATTATCCCAGTGGGCCAATGAAACTCTTATCTCGCTAGCATGGTTTCTCTGTCACCAAATTGTTTGCTTTCCAATATACAAATATGAATGGGTCGGAAGCTTTTCTACAAATCCTTCTGATATCCTGGGCTACAAATAAGAGCAGATTTTACAACACTCAACATTTCTTCCTTACAACTGGATAAACAGAAAGTGCTACTATTATCCCCAAGACACGAAAGCACCACCCAGTGGAGAACCGAAGCATGTTAAATGCTTCTGCAATAGCCGCTGTATCACCCATTCTTTGTCCTGAGCCTACATCGCAGGTCAAGGGCACAAGCTCAGATGCTGCACAGGGCTGTGAAAGACCCGTCTCCTCCGAGGAAGGAGGACGCATCATCTACAAAAAGAAGAGCTCTGAAAAGCATTGGAAGCATGGATTGCAGAATGTGTGAATTAGAGAAACTTGCCTAACTTCAGCAATACATTGGTCTCGAAAAAGCCAGGGGGAAGGCAAGCCAAATCCAGCTGCAGGGAGCAATCCCGGCTGCTCCTGAGGTCTGCAGGGAGGCTCATGGCAGCTCTTAGATTTGGAGAAGGTGAGGGTGGCATGGAGGCCTTTGAGGTCTTTGCTCTGAGCCTCCTTCTTCATCTCACTGCTCCTGCTAGGGGCTCAGTTGTCGGCCACGCAGCAGAGCTGGGAGGGAACAGCCTTCCCTAAAGAACGCCAGACAAACAGATGCAACCAACTCCTGCTCTACACCTCATCCATGTCTCTGCACCGAGGTGTGTGCACAAGCAGACTGTTCTCCTAAACACAGAAATCCAGGCTCCCTTTTGAACAGAGAACCGAGCCCACCGCTTACAACATGCTTCAGGAGCTGTCTGGGCTCGGGGACGACGTGGTGGGTGGGTGGCCAGAGCCTCGGGCAGCCCCCTCCTCACCTGCACGAGGTTCACTCCCGGCACGAAGTTCTTCACCTCCTTGATCAGCTTCACCTTGTCAGCAGGTTTCAGCTCCGTCAGCCGGACAGTGAAATGCGTTTTCTCCTTCTTGAGCGGGATCTCCTCCTCCTCCTGGAAGCAGCCAGAGCTCGGTGAAGACACCCACCCGGGCCCCGCGGCCCCCCCCCCCCCCCCCCCCCACGCACGGGGACCCGCGAGACCGACACGGAGCCCCGGGGGCCCAACTCCCGGCCCCTCCCCGGAGAGCCCGGTACCTGCGGAGCCGCCTGGGAGGGCTGGAGAGAGGCGGCCGCCGCCCCCGCCGGCATCACCCCCACGTCCGGAATCTTCAGCGTCTCCTACGGGAAGAGCAGCGGCACCGGCGGCCGGTGAGGCGGCGCACGCGGGCCGTGCCGGGCCGGGCCGAAGCGGGCCGCGCCGCCCCGCGCCACCCACCTTGAGGAGCGCGTTGAGGTCGGCCACCTCCAGCAGCGTCAGCCCCGCGATGTCCCGCACCAGCTGCCGCACCTTGGGCGAGTACTCCTTGGCGGCCGTGTCCAGCGGCGCCCCGGCCAGCGCCTCCGAGCGCCGTGCGCGGCCCGTGCCCAGCGCCCGCAG